TTTCCTTCTCCATTTTGGGGGAGGCAGCCTGAGCCAGGAGAGGAGTGTGACAGAGAAGCAGGGAAGGGAATGGCTCCTGTGGTGAGCCCAGGGCTGGGATCCTGGGCCAGGGGCACAAGGAAGCCACAGCCCATGGAATGTCCAGCGCTGCCCTCTCGCTGGGAGCTGCTCTCCTTGAACAGCCCTTGCTGTAAGGGAAGCCAGCACAGSCTGCTCCAGCTGCAATATCCGATCCTGGGGATTTGGTGTCTCCTGCCCCTCACCCTTCCCACGGCCAGCCAGCCCTTCAGAGGTGTCACTGCACAGTCACAGCACCCTGTGCCAGGGCCTGCCCACCCTCCCAGGGAACAATTCCTGCCCAATATCCCATCTAAACCTGCCCTCTGGCAGTGTGACCCCATTCCCTGTGTCCTGTCCCTCCATCCCTTGTCCCCAGTCCCTCTCCAGCTCTCCTGGAATCCCTTCAGGCCCTGGAAGGTTCTCTGAGCTCTCCCCAGAGCTCTCCTTTCCCCAGGCTGGACAGGGATGTCAGTGCCTCGRTGTCTACCCAAACAACCTCCTGTTGGGAAAGCCCTAAAATCCCCTCCTGGTTTGGGGTCTGCTCCTGGCAGGACACCCCTGCCAGACCAGGCTGTCCCTGCACAGCTCCTCACTCCAGCCCAGCTCCTCCTGTGTCAGACAGGATCAAAGCCAACCCATCCCATCCTCCTTGGGGCAGACAGAGGGAGAGCTACAGTCTGAGGGAAAAAACCAGGATCCTAAAGGAGAGTTGGGCCATCCCAATGGAGAATCACACACATGGCAAGCCCGTGGGGGGACAAAGGGGGTTGGCATTGATGTCTTAAGGATTTTCAGCTTCTATTCTTCACRTGTCTGKAGCTTTGGGGTGCAGTTCTAGACTTYATAAAGTGCTAAAGACCTCTGTTTCCAGAGTTTTRKMYAAAACTCRCTCTCAACTGGAAAATCYAGTTGCTGYCTCAGAGCCCCAAAATRTGGAAACAACAGAGAATTGGGGGGAGCAAGTTTGGGGTGGRTGACATCATCACMTGAARGTGTCATTKSAGAATTGRGGCYCRATGTGTGAATGAGACAGAACTGATAAAAGGAGAAGATCTCATGACTCAGGGTCCATTTTGGGTGCAGCCTCATGAGTGGGATTTGCTCACCCTGAATTCCTTTGCAGGCCATTCAAATTCTCTTTTTACTCTCCAAACCTTGCCTGGCCTCTGCTCCAAGCCAGCCCCACTCCAGAATCAGGATCTACACGGGAAGAGACCCCAGCCCAGGGCTCACCTTCTTCTCRTCGCCCTCCTGCAGGAGCTGCAGGTGGCTCCTCTTCTCGCTGTCCCTGCGCAGGGAGCTGTTCTGGTGGTGGGGCAGTCCCGTGGGAGGGGACACRCTGCGGCCCTGCGGGTCCACCCAGGTGTAGATGTGGTTGGTGACATATCCCCCYGGGATGCGCCCCACCGAGTGCACCGACAGGTTCAGCTTCTTGCAGCCCTTCAGCACCTGCAAGGCAAGCAGGGACAAGGGGTTAATGMCCACAGGGATGCTTTGGGATTTTAGTTTCTCTATTTTTCATGTGTGTGTAACCCACATGGGCAGGAAATGAGCTGTTGAAAGAGAGATGCTGGTAGGAGAGACTTTTAAAAAGGAGCAGCCCCATTA